CCTAGAAGCAACACCGACCACCCATTGGATTGAGCCACATGGCTTGCGTTCTTCCTTCAAAGGTCCGTCCGCCAAGCGACAGATCGACTCCCTCTACAACCACATCGTGCGAGCGGTGGAAGAGAGACTTGTCCCGGCGAGCCCAAAGCGATCAGGGTCGATGAATGGAGCAGAATCTGAACATACTATGATCCTTTGGTGGACCCCAGATGTGAGTTTCTCACAGTGGGATTCGGACCCCGTTTGGTTGAGACCAAGAGGAAGCCAACACTTTGTTGGGACCACGAATTTGAGAAACACCCTGTTGATATCATCGCATTCCACCACAAATTCTAAGCACTAACCGACCCGACCGCGGGGAAACCCAGAATTCCTGGTTGGAAATGTTGGTAATTCGTGCATATTTCAGGCAGGTCAATTTGCAACCAGTGTTGGTTTCCTTGGAGGAACTGATTCCTTGGCTTCAAGCTGTTGTGCAACTTTGCAACACGGTGCGCGCGTGGGTAGGTGGGTGGGTGGGTGGTTGGGCGGGTGTGTGTGTGTGTGTGTTTCTGTATGTCTGTGTTTTTGTGTGTGTCTTTGTGTGTCTGTGTCTCCGTGCGTCTATGTGTGTCTCTGTGTTCGTATGTGCGTGTCTGTGTGTTTGTGTGCGTCTGGTTGTCTGTGTTTCTGTGTGTTTGTTTGTGCCTGTGTGTGTGCAAATATTGGGGACCGGATTGGACGACGATTTTTTTCGAACGGAGAGGTTCCTTTCCCGCAAACTCATGGCTGCTAGCGTCAGAGACCCTACTAACCCCCTCAAATAGGGACAAACGGGTTCTATAAATTCGCACTCCCTGAGTTGTTGGACTGAACACGTTTTAGGCAGACCGTGTTAGCGGTAAATCCAAATTCAGACTTTGTTCGGCCAATCCTTTCAGGAAGTGAGCTACTTAATGTTGATCCCTGAAAAAAGCAACTCCTCAGTTGTGAATCAGGGGTCCGTAGCCCTGGAAGAGAGGAATCCCCGCTAAACAGGGGAACCCTAAACCCTAAACCGACCCCCCGTAACACCATGTTGCTTCGGCGCCATTTCGTGAGGATCGAGCAACACGCCATGACCTTGGCGGAGGACCCGGAGCAGAAGGCTGGGCTGACGCGTAGCTCAGGGGACTGCTCGTTGCTCCTTTTGTGTTTTACCCGTTTTTAGAGGTTTGTTTTGGTTTGCCCACGACTTTTGGTGGTATTCTCCTGTTTGTTTGGTTTTGAAAGGGAACCCCACAGTACCCCTTAAAAAGTAGCCCCACTACTTGTGGTTTCTGTGTTGGTGGTATTCCCCTTTTTCTTGGTTGTTAAACAGAAACATCTGGTTGTTAAACGGAAACCCAGAGTGCCCTAAAAATTGATAGCCCCACTTTGGCATCAACCTGCCCCACCGGCCGGATTTTCCAACACCGACCCCTTGGATAACACCAGGCAAGTAGATTGCACTCCTTCCTGGAGCACCCTTCGTTACCTAAATTTCTGCCCTTAGCCCAAACGTATTGCAAAACCAGGGGTCGTCACCAAAATACGGTAAATGTACACTTTTTGCTGCTTCGAGCGTTTTTCCCAAAACCGGGCTGGTCGGTCCTCCAAGATGATCGGTCGCTGAATTTTCGAAAGGAGCGAGCAGAATTCGAAGTGCAAAACGAGCGCAAATAGCCGCAAAAAACGAGCGCAAATATCCGCAAACGAGTGCAAATTCAAAAAACGTAACAATGCCCGCCGTCCTCCGGATGGAAGAAGGGATTTGGTCGAGCGTTTTTCGGGGTGCGGGCGTTTTTTGCGGGGTCGAGCAGAAATCGGTAATTCGAGCGTTTTTTTCTCGTACCTAAACAAAAAGGGCACGTTGGGTGCCTCAGGTTGTCAAAGAGAATGAGACCTACCAAAACGGGGGGTTTCCCCCGGTTGGCTTCCATTTTAAACTGAACAGGGTACTGATAGAAGTCAGAGACTTGTAGAGATTGTACCGTGCACTTTCACACCGTACCAGGGCAGGGTGTGGGGTTCAATCGTTTTCGTAGCGACGCGAGCAGCCAGGGACAAGCATCATGTCTTACTCCCTAAGTTCCTACACTTTACATACTTTTTGGGGTCTGGACCATTTTAGTGGCAAGTAGCAGTTGGACTTTTTTGGGCCAATCCACTCAAGTGAGGCAAGTAGCTCACCGTTGGGATTTACAGTCACGGGTGTCGGCTTTTCTCGCCGCCCGGCCCTTTGTGGAGCCAGGCGGCTCTGGATGACATGCTCGAGAAGCTTCGAAAGCTGCTTGATGCTTCTCGGATGCGCAGAATTTGGTCGCGAAATGGGCGGCGCGTCCTTCGTTTTGTCGGAGGATAGCCCGTATTTGGATCCATGCACAGTCTCACATCTCGGAGGTGCACTCAATCCTCTCTGGATAAGCACTGGATAAGCACCTCCTATCGGATTGCACCCATCTTTGATAAAGCAACAGGAAATCCGAGATCCCTTTTTGTTGGAGTCCCTTTAGCAAGGTGAGCAGTGTACCAGGACCAACCAAGGAAAAAAACACACATCCATGTTGTATTATTGAAATGGGTGTGGCTCAAACATAGAGCCAACAATAACCCCCTGGTAAATGGACAAGTAGAGTAAAGCTCAAAGGCAGCATGCCACTGGTAGGCTCCTTCTATTTTGGCAGGACTTTACTGGGGGCAAAGCTCACCATTTAGATATCTCCCAGGGTCCCAGACCATCCAGGTAAGTCGCACTGGGGCGGGGGGGTGAGGGGCAGGTTGTACCCCGAAGTAAGTTCAAGATGGTCCGTTTTGAGTTTGGGATCTGTTTCTTTCCAAGGTGCACCCCAACCACTCAGAGTGCTTCCAGGCGTTTCACCACTAAAGTAGGTAGCCAGTGGGAAAGCTCAAGTAAAGCCTAGAGGCAGGGATCCGTGGTTGCCTAGTGACTTTTCTGGAAACCACACAAACCGCACCTCTTGGGGGATTCCTTTATTGAAGAAATATATCCGGATACCGGCATTCGATCAACCGCACATTTTGGGGTCCCAACAGACGCACACACACACACAGCCATATCCAGAATAAACCGGGTTGATTACACCCATATCCAGAATAAACCGGGTTGATTACACCCAGTTTTTTTTCTGGCAAACTTTTTTCAAAAAGCGACACCTCGGCGAGAGGTGGAGCAGCCCTTCGACGTGTTGCTGCATGACCCCGCGGGCTTGTCCGAGTTCAAGCCGACGGACCGCTCGACTCCGGGACCTGGCTGTGTCTTCATTCCGTTGGACCCGTTGGTGAGCCCGGGCTTTGGCTGAAACAGGGGGTCTCGACCCCCTTTTCAAAAGCCGAATCCAAGCCACTTAAGGGTAGCCAACATTTTCATGGCCATGGGGTCTCAAGGTGACCGGAGGGTCCAAGTTTGGTTTGAGGAGCTGTTTTTCGGGGTGAGGGGTTCAAGCCCAAAGACCGATTTTGGAAATAAATGGAACTTTTCCCATTACACCTGCAAAGGGCGACCTTCTGCTTGAGGGCGGAGAGAGCAACCCAGTTTTCAGGGATGGGAACCCCTTGGGAAATTTTGAGGATGCCACCCCAAGCGATGCACAGAAGTAAGTTTTGGGGCTTCCATGTGAATCTGCAGGAGTGGAACTAGGGTGGACCAACTTGAATGCTTCGTTTGGCCCTATTGGGAAGTCAGGACAGACAAACCCTAGCTTGCTCTGTGTGTGTGTGTGCGTGTGTGTCCCAGTAAGAGAACATCCTGATCCTTGTTGAGGAAACACACCGTAAGCACCAACCAGGTTGACCAATTTGGGGCCAACAGTCAGGTAAGTGTCTGTCCCTTTTGACTTGACAGGATCACTTTGATAATTATCATTCTGGTTGTGTCTGTTTTGAGGCGACCTTTTGTGCGGTGGTTTCAAAGGAAAACCGAAAGGAACACCGAGGCCATTTTGTGGGCCCCCAAAAAGTACGCCCCCTTCTAGACCTGAACTCCCCGGGGCCCCCGCCAAGCGGAGGACGGGGTCGTGCAAGAGAAGTACACCAGTGACACCGCTTGAGAGCGGAAGCTTCCGGCCGATGTCATATCCCGAAAGGTAAAACCGCGCAATCCACGAAGCACTGCCTGTGGGATCCTGTGGGTAAACAACAGAAGCTCAGTTTTGTTACCCGAGTCTTTCGATTTTTCCTCACACCTTTTCGGAAGATATTTCAGTGCAGAACAAC